CCCTCTGCCTCACAGCCCCTCACTCAGGCCAGGTAGCCCTGAAAAAGTATACCACCACCCCCAGCCCCACCTGCCAGCCCCACCCTCTGGTGGAATCCTCTGTTTCCTCCACACCTCCCTCCAGTTTCCTGGCCTCTGTTCTGAAGCTGGATGCCCCACCCGGATCCACCCACTAATGATTTGTCTGCAGCCCGCACCTGAGATGCCACCTAGCAACACCTCGCAGGCAGAACCCTCCCCCCCACCCAGTGCCAAGTCTCCATCCTAAACAATGACCCCAAAACCAGAAAGCCCTGGAGGAGGCCCAGGCCTGGGGGAAGGGGCCAGGGAAAGCAAGGAGAACTGGGAACCAAAGCGAACCCAGGCTCAGGGAGTCATGGGGAAAGCTAGAGGTTTCCCACAGAGCACAAAGTCCATCAGACTACTTCTGCCCTCTGCCCTTCCTCCCTCTGCCCCCTTACACACACACACACACACACACACACACACACACACACCTTTGTCCTGCAGTCTGGCTGAGGAGATCCTGGGACCCCCAGGGGTTCAGGCTCCATCTCATACCCAGCCCCCATCCTCACAGCCTCCTAGGGTCCCCTCCTGCCCAGTCTGCCTTTGCCTCTCCCTCTGGCCACGGATGCTCATGGAGTTGTTAATTCGGTCAGTGGTTTGTACCTGTGCATTAGCGCTGTGAGTCCTCCAGGGCACACATGTCCAGGCTCCCCTAAAGGGAGCTGTCTCTCCCCGTTGGATTGGACCCTTCCTCACCATAGCAAATGGGCTCCCCTTAGACTGGGAGCTCTCTTAGCGTGAGGACTGCTTCTGCTTCTCCCCCTGTGCTAGCCTCGGGGTGCTCTGGGCATTGCATGCCTTCTCCTTCAGCTAACCCAGCCTGCAGGAAGTGGGGTATCCTGGCTCCTTCTGGAGCTGGGTGGGCTGACCACCCAGCCCATCATGCTATGACCCATCACCGAACCAGGGCAGAGAGGACCAAGGGATCTCCCAGAGGACCTGGGAGGAGGGCTAGGGGGAAATCTGAGGAAGTGAACCAGCAAGTGGGGTGGGAGAGTCAGGGAAAGGGGAATCAGGAGGTGAAGGAAGGGGAGCATGAGAGAGAGAGAGAGCAAGGGATGAATAGGTGAGGAGGAGTGAGGTGGCAAAAAGGAGGGGGAATGAGGCAGGAGTACCAGAGGAGGAGAATCAGCAATAACGGTCCATCCTCTTTCTTTCTTTCTTTCTTTCTTTCTTTCTTTCTTTCTTTCTTTCTTTTTTTATTTATTTCTTCTTCTTCTTCCTCTTCTTCTTCCTCTTCCTCTTCTTCTTCCTCTTCCTCTTCCTCTTCTTCTTCCTCCTCTTCTTCCTCCTCTTCTTCCTCCTCTTCTTCCTCCTCTTCTTCCTCCTC